CACAAAACAAGGCCACGGGGGGTTAGTGCAGACAGACGGACAGATGGACGGACGGACAGATGGAGCAGACAAGGCGCGGGATAGCGGCTTTGGCACCAGGAGCAGCCTCTGCCCTCACGTCCATCCGTGCAGCAGGATCTGAATCTTCCTCCCTGCTCAGCTCTTCCTCACCCTGAGCATGGGCTTGAGACCTCCTGCGCTGCTGCCTGGACCCCTACCCAGCCCCAAAACAGCACCTAAAATAGTTGCTCTTCAGGGCTTCACCCTGATGCTCCAGGGACCAGCACCGGTCCTTGCAGAGGGGGTGACCTGTGCTCCCGCAGGGCAGCCAAACTCAGCCCAGTTTTTTTCAGCCGGCAGCAAACCTCCTCTCCTCCCAGCCGAGTGTGCAAACCGGCCGGTGCCAGGCGTGCAAACTCCCCTTCCCTGAGGCAAAAGCCCCTCTGCCAGCTCCGAGGGGCGAACAAAACACGGGGCGGGCAGAGCAGGGCAGGGCTGAGCCCCGAGCGGTGCCGTGTCCTGCTGGCAAGGTGGCGAGAGGCACTGGGTGGTGGCGTGGGGCACCTTGGAGCCCCAAAAGCCGTGAGCCCCCGAGGGGTCGAGTGCCAGGCAGGGCTTTCTGGTATCGACTCCCTTGCTCAGGTCCCTGCGGGATGCTTTGGCCGTGCAACCTTACCTGGAACTGCAGCTTGGGAGCCAGGAGGTTGCTCTGGGGTGGTGGCTTGTACCTGGGTCTGCTGGGCTGCGGGGAGCGGAGGAGGGAGAAACACCCGGTGGGTGCGAGCCCAGGGTGGTCCCAGTTCTGCAGCACCCATCAGCGGGTTGAGGAGGGGAGATGAACCTGCCTGCACGGGCTCTGCCCTCTCCTCACCTTCGGAGGTGGCTCCTGGAAGGATGGCGGCTCCATGATTTTGGGAGGCCGGTGGCGATTGTTCCTCTCCTGCTCCTTGGCCAACTCCTTCTCCATCAGGTAAATGTCACTGCAGGGGGAGATGGAGGGTGGCAGCCCCGGGAGGGAGCATTGCCACATCTCCCGTACTCCAGAGAGTCGGGGGGCTTGAGCTGGATGGGCCACGGAAAACACGAGGGATGGGAAGAGCAAAGGGAAAGGACTGGGAGGACATAGCTTGGTCCCAGCCGGCCACACCAGTGTCACCATGGCTGGGCCCAGCGAGATGTGGGCTCAGGACTCCCCCGCAAGACCCCTGCCCGGGAAGAAAAGCATTTCCATTGCAGCCCAGGCACCCCCACCCCAGGGCAGGTGGGCTCAAACAGGCTCAAACAGTCCTTTGAGTTCAGACTCGGCCAGAAAACTCCACACCCAAACTCTTGCACGGGTCCATTTTTCTCCTTCACCCACTCGCCCACCCCTCCACCAAACCACGGACCCCCTCCTCCCAGCCCATCCTCAGTCCCCCGCCTTCCCGCTCACCTCAAGCTGCAAACCAAGTCCTTGAACTTGGGCCTTTCGCTGGGGTCGTAGTCCCAGCAGCGCGTCATGAGGGTGTAGAGGATGGGTGGGCAGAGGTCGGGCTTGGGCAGGCGGTCGCCCCTCTCCAGCACCCCGATCACGTCCTTGTTCTCCAGCCAGAAGAAGGGCTGCTTGCCGTAGCTCAGGATCTCCCACATGCACACGGCTGCGGGAGCGACAGGAGCAACCTCAACCCATGCTAGAGCTGGGGGACCAGCCCCTCGCTCGGGTTTTTGGGGACCTGGTGACAGTGCCACGCTTTGGTGCAGGACACCAGGTCACTTGGCTGCTTGGCCTTTCTGGTCCGTGGGTGAAAAACGCAGAGGAAAGAGCTGCCGGCTCTCCCGGGGAGCCGCAAGGAGCCCGGCTCCTGGTCGCTGCTGGCCGTGGGGCTGTCAGGGACGGACAGACGAGTGCCAGAGGCCGTGGGGATGGGCAGGTAGGCAGGGGGATGGATATTTGCAGGGGTAGAGTCTAACCCAGCCCCACAATGGGCCTGAATTCACTGGAGGAGGAGGAGGAAGCACCTAATGATGGTTGAATTGGAGGAAGGTCTGTCCCAGGAGCCCTTCCCTGGGCTGTCTTTCCCCAAGGGGAAGGCTGGGCTAACCCCCCCACTCCGGAGCAGGATTTGTCCCTGTGCATTAAGACGATGCCACGGGAGGCAGGTGAAGCCCAG